CTTAGCCACTATGCTACCAGAGCTCAGTAGGGCCTAGCATAAAGTAAATATTTAAAAAATGTTTAACCATTTATTTGGAGCTCTGGGGGCGTAGTGCCTAAGGCATTTGACTGCTAACCAGAAGGTTGGTGGTTCAAACCCACCAACCACTCTGTGGAAGGAAAACGGGGCAATCTACTTCTGTAAAGATTTACCACTTCAGAAACCTAAGGGGGGTTCGGTATGAGTTGGAATCAACTCAATGGCAGTGTGTTTGTTTGTTTTTTTAACCATTTATTTTCATAACTGCTAAAAAATAAAATCCTGTGTCTAATAGATACAGTAACAAGTCAAAAATATTCTCAATAGTTCTTCAAAGGAAATATGTAACTCAGAGATGTGTAAATTTAATTCCAAGAAATTTAATGAAAACATAACTTAGACAAAGAGAGATGTGTTTTTCTAACAGGATTAAGTTTTAAAAAAATTAAATAAACTGCTTTTTAAAATAATAACTAAAGCATAAAATATTTCAAGTAAGAAGTTTGGAACTGTTTTGATAAGCCGTATTTGTGTGAAAGAAAATATTTAGTCCAGAATATTTACAGCTGAAACTGTGATGTAAGTACACATCAGAGCCCCTCTCCCCAAATCTTCTAATAATGATGCTGTACATTTAAATTCCTTATTCTTCTTCTGGTGCCTTCACTTCTAACATCAATGTATTCCCTATTTCTGCTGCTTATTTCTTTTTCTAAATTACCTATCCTAGAAAGGCTTACTGGATACCTCATAGGATTGAGCGAAGCCCATATCCATGCTTTTAGTATAACTACTTCCAAAAAGTATAGCAGTTAATTCTTGCATTTTCCAAACTGATTACAGGCCTCACCCCATGTCTAGTCCAAGAAGTAATCAGAGTGTAGTGATTAACTTTGTGTGTCAACTTGGCTGGGCCTGTTTGAGTGGCTGGGCAGCTGGTAATAGTTATTCCCCATGATGAGACTGGCAATCAGCTCCATGGTGGGACCTACCACAAGCAGCTGAGTAGCTGCTTTAGGGATGTGGTCTGCTTCCCATTTATAAGAAACAGCTTTGGGAATGGTCTCTAGTTTATGGAACACTTGAATCCTGCATGTAGCTGCGTCCTTGTTCAATAGCCTGCCATGCTCTGCCAACTTTGGGACTTTCAATGGACTGGAATTTATGGCCTGCTGTGTGGTTTGGTCACTGAGACTGTGCTATTTTATTTGTCACTCTTGGGCTTGTTAGCCGCAGCAGCCAGTAGCTGCCTGAGTGAAGAGACGCCTCTAGCTTCAGTAGGCCGGAAGGAAGAGGCAGAGCTGAAGCCTAAGGTCAAGGGGCTTTCACACAGCCCCTAGAGCCTGGCACTTTGAACTCAGACTTTTAGCCTCCCGAACTGTAAGAGAATAAACTCCTGTTTGTTCAAGCCATCCCATTTGTGGTATATTCCTGCAAGAGTGGCACTAGATAACCAGAACAGAGAGTTTCTTATTTATTATCAATATTCAAGACCTTACGGAAATGAAATTCTTCTGTTATATGGTCCACAAGCTAACAAAAAGCAGTAAGTTTGTTTTGTCTAGAATATACTTTGATTGATATATTAGTTAGATATTCTTGACTAAAACTTTAATTTCTTTAAATGATATCAATTATTTGTTAAAACCATATTTAAACCCATAGAATTTATGCAATAGAAAAATACAAGAAAGGATTCTCAGGAAATGAGAAAGATTAGTTTGTTTGAGCTATGGGAGTTCTAAAATGATACTGGGAGCATTAATGCTCACCCCTGGCTTTTGGTGCACACTGCAGAGTACCAAACAAAAAGACACAACAAAAGATGTGAAGTCACAAGTTTCTCATCCATTTGTAGAGGACTATTCTAAGATTTCAGATGTTAAGATTTTTGATATCATACTGAAAGAAAGACTTCATCCTCAATGTATACTCCTAAAGCCAACAAAACTATACTTACTGCAAGCTATAAAAATTACTTACCTAGCTCTTTCCTCCACTGGGCTTTTTTTGCTTCCAACAAACTTTTATCACGTTCTCTTTCCCCCAGAGTACTGAATATGTCAGCTGGTTTCCATACATTCTCTCTAAGGCAATAATAAAAAAATGAGAAAGCTTATCATTATATATTTCTACACAACTTATTCCATAAAAGTTAATAAACTTTAAAAATGGCTCTATGTCTTCAGAGTACATACTTCACATGCAAGTAAAGAAAAAGTAAAGCCATATTCCCAAGATAACAATAACAGACATAAGTTACATACATGGCAATTTTCTGCTCAAGCTCCTTAGAAGTCTCCTGCTTTATATTTAAAACAGATTTATTTTCATCCAGGACAGATGAAACAACCTCAGTTTTTTGGAGTAGTCCCATAATGTTCTTGTCTTTTGGCTGATCAGGAATATTGTCGATATGTAGATTGTACTGACCTAGGAGGTGGGAAATGTATGTCTTAAAATTCATACTGTGGTGGTGGTGGTTGTCATATGCCATTGACTTGATTCCAACTCATGGTAGCCCTAAAAGCAGAGTGGAATTTCCCACAGCCTGTAATCTGTATGAGAACAAATCACCAAGTCATTTTCTCCAGCGGAGCTGCTGGTAGGTTCAAACAACCTTTTGGTTAGTAGGTGGATACTTAACCATTGTGCCACCAGGGCTCCTAAAAATTTATAATAAATTAGATCAGTTACAATACCTTATCTTGGCATACTGCTGTTTTTTCAAGACATCGAGTCAGATCCAACTCACAATGACCCCTCCTTGGGTTTCCAAGGTGGTATCAATATGGAAGTAGATTGCCCAACCTTCCTTCCAAGGAGTGGCTGGTGGGTTTGAACTGCCAGCCTTCTGGTTAGCAGTCAAATGCCTTAGGCACTACGCTACTGCTATATAGTTTAAAAAACAATGTCTTCTACATCATCTAATTTAACTCTCACAACAATCCTTAATGTGAGCATTATGATTCTCTTTCATCAAAAAAAGGAACTGAGACAACCCATAGACTAAGAAAATTTTAGTGAATCATGTATCAAACAAGCATTTAATATACAAAATATAAAAAAGATTTCTATAGCTTAATAACAAAAGGACAAACAATCCAATCAAAAAAATGGCAAAGGATGTGCCACTAAAGATCATCCACAAATAGCCAACAAGCACATGAAAGGACAATTAAAAACATTAGTCATTATACCAAAAAACAAACTCACTGCCGTTGAGTCAGATCCAACTCACAGCAACCCCGCCTTAGGTTTCTGAGGTGGTATTTGAACCATCAGCCTTCTTATTAGCAGTCAAATGCCTCAGGCACTATGCCACCAGAGCTCCCTTAGCCATTATAGGGAGACACAAATCAAAAGTGCAGTGAAATACCAATTCTCCTGCATTAAGATGACTAAGGAAAAAAAAGAAGAAAACAATAAATGTTAGCAATGATGCAGACAAACTAGAACCCTATTCCATTGCTGGTAAGAAAGTAAAATGGTGTAGCAGTTGTGGAAAATATTTTGGTAGTTTCTCAAAAAGTTAAACACAGAACTACCATACAATCTAGCAATTCTATTACTATGTATATTGATACCCCAGAGATTTGAAGACAGTAACACAGACACATGTACACCAATACTCGCTGCAGCACTACTCACAATTGCCAAAAGGTGGAAAATGAAATGTCCATCAAAAGATGAATAAACAAAATGTTTATAATGTTTTGTATATAAATACAAAAGAATATCACTTAGCCATAAAGAGAAATGAAGTCTTGATACATGCTACAACATGGATGAAACTTGAAAACATGCTGAGTGAAGTCAGTCAATCCCAAGAGGACAAACATTATATATCTTATTTATATGAAATATATACAATAGGTAAATGCACAGAGACCACAATTTATTGGTGATTACCAGTGGCAAAGTGAGGAGGAGAAAAAGGTAAGTCAGTGTTTATGAACCAATAAATATCTGTTTATAGTGATGGAGAAGTTAGCAATGGATATCGGTGATGGTTGTACAGCATGATTAATGTAACTGGTGTTATTCATACGTAAAAAATGTTCAATTGGCCAGTGTTGTGTTACGCATTTTTTACAACAATAATGAAAGAAAGTTATAAAAAGGAAATAAATGCAAATAGCTTCATGAATAATTCATTACCTTGTCCTTACTTTTTCCCATTTAGGAGTGAAATCATGGAAAACTTTATCATGGAGCTGTGTCTCTATACCCAGCCATAGTATCTATACTGAATGTGTTATAGAGAACTCACATGCTTAGCTCAAAAATTATTCTAATACCTCCTTTAAGAGTAAGTTCTCCTAATGAGCAGAAAATAAATCTAATATGCATGCTTATTACATGTTTAGGCAAATTTTACTTTTAAGTTTATGGATATTATCTTTTACTATGCCAAGTAAGTTTTTAGTTTTTTTCCCCCTAACCTAAAATTCAGAGCTCTGGTGGCACAGTGGAGAAAAGGAGACAGGTGGTGAGTGTGTAAGTGCTGTCAACTAGTGAACAGAGGAGCACAGCACAGTACCCTGCTTGTGTAGATAATATACAAAGAAAACTAAAATCATGGGCAAGTCATTCCAACATACAATCATGAATTAAATATAAACACAGTATTTGGCTGCTAACCAAAAGGTCAGTGATTTGAACCCACCAGTTTCTCCCTGGGAGATTATGGCCTTGGGAACCACATGGGGCAGTTCTACTTTGTCCTATACAATTACTTTATGTCTAAACTGACTTGTTGGCAGTAAGTAAGCTAAAATTCTAGCCTCAAAAAGGAAATTAGGCTCCCTCCTTTTACAAAGCAAAATCTAGACCAAAAGAGGGTAAATGATTCCATCTCAAGCACTGTGGAAGTGTATAGAAGCTTCTTGGCCCCAAAAATAGTTGTTAGGCCTCTCCATGGGGACTGTTAATTTATTACTTCATTACTGCCTAATAAAATTTTGATATTTCTATTATTGTCATATTCATAATTCCTTAGCACAAAGCTGAAACTAGAAGGCTTTTGAAAACATAATATAATGCATTAATTTATAATACAGAAAGCATGTAAAACTCTATTTCTAACTCTGTGCTTTACATTGGTTAAAAAGTTAGTACTGCCAATCTTTAGCATAGCTTGAGGGTCAGGAAAAGCAAAATGCAGGGGTTAGATTTCAATAATTTTAGCAACTGAAGTAAAATCTTCACATTATGGTTTCCTTAATTTTTATTACTATCACTGCTTTCTTTTTTTAAAACATTTAATTTTTCATAATTATTCTAAAAGTAATCTAAAAGAAGTACAACTTTTTGTAGTAACATCTTTTGTACAGTCCACAGAAACTGAGCATCATAGTACATGAGAAAACTATGCTAAGCATTACCCTTACAATGTGGCAGATTATAAAAGTAATGCTGTATATTAGAGAATATCCTCTGAAAGAATGATTTTAAAAGATTATTAAATTAGAATTTAAGAGGCATAGTTACGAAAAATCCCACAAATTTGAAATTGTAAAACATTTGCATATTGATAAAATTAATATTCATTAAAACTTACTTGTTTCCTCCTTTCCATTTTCAGATAGAGAAATGGATCTACTCCCTTGGTTTACAGTCATTAAAATCTTATGTAGCTGGTCTTGTGTTAGACACACCAAACTGCTCTCCATATTTTCGGCTGTGATATGGTTTTTGCAAGACTTCTGTTCAGCTACCACAGATGCATTCATGGTATTTCTAGTCTTCTGCATATTAGGATTTGCAGATGAAATCCCTTTTTGGATCTGAAGACAGTCATTATCTACATACTGCTTACATAAATCCTTTGTGGGTGAAAAAGTCATTTTATTTTTTTCACTTTTTCCCAGTGAGGTTTCTGTACCCAGTCTCTTCTTTTGCCAAAGTTTTTCACTCCTGACACAAGTATTTTGTGTTGATTTTAGAATGTGTCCAGTTTGTTTTGTTCGCAGAGGGCATTTTACAATCTTGGTCTTATTTCCCATCTGTTAAAACAGAAGCTTATTCTTTATAACAGCCCATGAAAAATCAATAATTATCTTTAATTACATAATTTCTGATAAACTTTTTTCCTTTTTGTTGGTTAGATGATATACCCATAAAAGCTCAAGTTTAACCTCTGCAAATCACTCAAAAGATTCAACAACAATTGGGAAGTTATTTAACTCAAGGGTAATAAAGAACACAGAACTTTATTCTAATTGCTACTGGACATCTCCATTCCACATCAGTTTTAAATCCCTGTCACTGTATTATGCTATCTCTTTTGTTATAGGCATCTATAGATTCCAGATTACTAACCCTTAACTCCTTGAATATCTTACTGAGTCACCATCTTTCTCTCATATATAACTCCTGTCTTAATTATCAGTGCTTTCATATCCATACAGATTACTCTGATACACTGACACCTCACTTCTTTGAACTCTGCTCCTATAGTCTTGTACCTCAGTTACTCATTGTCATGGTGCCACCTTCTACTTAACCTTGTAACTACTCATAATTTCAAGCACTCCACAATGAACAACACCATTTATTTTTCCAGATTACTTGCTCTCATCTCAATTTCAATAGTTCTTTAACTCTGCTGGAATGTATAATCTGTTGCTCCAATCACTTTTCTCTTGTCCCACTTCCATCTTTAACCACCTCCAATTCCATTATCAACCAAAATAATCACTCTCTTCCATTTTCCTTTGGTCTACTCTGTGTCCCGCATGCTTGGCAAAATCACAAAAAAAAACCAAAATGAGGACTTCCAGCAAGATGGAGGAATAGGCAGACAAGTGACAGACTCTCTTCAATAAAGGAAAGAAAAATCAATTGACAGAGATACAGAAGATAATCCTGGAGCCCTCAGTTTTGAAAGGAACTATACAGAAGTGGATTAGGCACCAACTAGAGGAAAAACCTCAACAAAAACAGTTAAGTACAGAGATGGTCAGAGCTGCAGACTGTCAGCTACTGTGATGGGACCAACAGCATGAATATTTCCAAGTGGTGTTGGGGCCTGAGAACTGACCTAAAGATCAGCCTTGGTCACCAAGGGCTGCAGGGACAACTGTGCTGGTGGCCTATGACTAGGAAGGGAAACAGCAAGGAGGGAGACAGCTGTTGACTTTCCGCTGTCCAGAGGGTGCAACCATTTTGATTGTTTACATGCAGCAGCCATTTTTGATATTTAAAGTGACCAAGGATGCAGCCATTTTGAATCTTTACAAGTGGCAACCATTTTGGATTTTAAAGTGATAGCATTTCTCATTTGGATTCCAAGGACCTAAGAATAGGCTCTGTTTGCCAAGGTCAGCAGGGACATACAAGAGGCTGACAAGAGAAAAGGAGACAGGTGGTGAGTATATAAGTGCTGTCAACTAGTGAACAGAGGAGCACAGCACAATATCCTGCTTGTGTAGATAATATACAAAGAAAACTAATAGCATGGGCAAGTCACTCCAACATACAATCATGAATTAAATATAAAAACAAAAATGTCACAATGCCTCAGATATAACAGAGCATCACAGTCTACAAAAAGAAGCAAGATAAAGCAGGAGAAACAAGGGACCAGGATATAGACCCAAAACACATCCCTGAGTTCTGAAGAAGCAGTATTGGAACTCCCTGATAAAGAAATTCTAAAGAATTATATTTAGGTATTCTTCAAAGGATTGAGAGACAGACCAAGGAAAACACAGAAAAACCCCTAGAAGAATTCTGGAAGAAAACGCAAGAACAAAATGACAAAATAAATGAAAAATTAGAAATGATTCAAAATCTACAGATAGAAATCCAGAAGATTAATACTAAACTGTCAGAAAAAGATAAGACATTGAAAGGGCAAAGGAGTAAAACTGATGCAATGGAAGACAGAATTAATGACACTGAAGACAAATACTTGAATAGTTCTTTGGAAAGGGATCAATCAGAAAAAGATCAAAACAACATGAAGAAAGCCTAAGGTTCATGTGGGATACCATCAAAAGGAATAACGTACATGTCACTGGAATTCCAGACAGGAAGAGAAAAATAAAACCACTGAGAAAACTGTCAAAAATTTGTTGGAAGAGAACTTCCCTGATATAATGAAAGATGAGACTATATCCATTCAGGAAGTCTGACAAGCCCCAAAGAGGAGAGACCCCAAAAGAAAATCACCAAGACGTATCATCATCAAACTCACCAAAACCAAAGACAAAGAAAGAATCATGAGAGCAGCATGGGAAAAAACGAAAAGTTACCTACAAGGGGTAACCAATAAGACTAAGCTCAGATTTCTTGACAGAAACCAAGCAGGCAAGACAATGGGATTGTATATATAAAACCCTGAAAGAGAAACATTTCCAATCAAGAATTATGTACCCAGCAAAATTGTCCCTCAAATATGATGGTGAATTTGGGACATTCCCATAAGAAGAAATTAAGGGAATTTGTTAAAACCAGATCAACCTTACAAGAGATGCTAAAGGGAGCCCTTTGAACAGAGAAGCAACAACAGCCAATCAACCCAGCTATGGAAGTATCCAAAGTAAATAAGCCTACAAGATTGTAAACCAGAGACAGCAATTGACAAATGAGGACAACTACAAACCAAAAACAGAGAAAAAATTGTGTCATTACAGAATTCCTAGACAACTACAAGACTATTCTAAACTTGAGAAGAAAACTATAAATCACAGGATAACCTCAAAGAAAAATGATAAACTTTCACATCAAAATAGAAAAGAGGACCAGCTCAAATATTTAGCAAATACTAAAACAACAGCAATGAAGGAAATGACAATACGATTCATAAACAAAATGAACTCAGCATAAAAAATTATATGGAACAAAGAAATCAACACCATGAAAAAGTACATAACAAAAATGACAGCAACAAATTCATATCTGCCAATAATTACTTATCTGGCAAGGGACTTACCTCTAAGATTTACAGAAAACTCCAACGCCTCAACACCAAAGGAATTAACAATCCAATGGAAAAATGGTCAGAAGACATGAATACACACTTCACCAAGGAGGATATTCAGGTGACCAACTAATACATGAAGAGATGCTCACAATCATTGGCCATCAGAGAGATGCATATCAAAACAACGAGATACTGTCACACCCCAGCACTGATGGCAAGGTTCAACAAGACAGAAAATAACAAATGCTGGCAGGGATGTGGAGAGATTGTGACTCTCATACACTAGTGGTGGGACTGTAAAGGGATATAACCATTGTGGAAAGCAATATGGCAATTCCTTAGAAAGCTGGAATTGGAGATACCGTTTGACCCAGTAATCCCATTACTAGGTATATATCCTAGAGAGGTGAGAACCAGGACAGGAACAGATATATGCACACCCATGTTCATTGCAGCACTATTTACAATAGCAAAAAGATGAAACAACCTATGTGCCCATCATCAGAAGAGTGGTTGACCAAACTGGTACATACACACAATGGAATGCTATGCAGCACTAAAGAATAACGTAGAGTCTGCAAAACACTGTATAAGATGGATGAACTTGGAGAACATTATGCTGAGTGAAGTAAGTCAATCACGGAAGAATACAGTATTAGTTTGTTGTTGTGGAAGGTCAAGGAAAGGTTCATATATGGAGGGGAACTTTCTTTGTTGTTTGCCAGGGGTGGAAGGGGAGGAGAGGGAACAGTGCAAAAAAAAATGCATTGACCCATGTCACTTTAGTTTTGTGTATTTCACTATACATAGATTATATTTCAAAAAAATGGATTTAAAAAAAAAAACTCATTGCTGTCAATTTGATTCCAACTCTCTTAAGACAGAGCAGAACTGCCCTAGAGGGTTCCACAGGACCATAAATCTTTATAGAAGACAGCCACCCCTTTCTCCCTCAGAGCACTGGTGGGTTCAAATTGCTGACCATCTGGTTCAAAGCTGAGAGTTTTAACTACTCTGCCACTAGGGCTCCTTCCCCTAACTTCAACCAATACCAACACTGTATCTCAGTATCTTACCCACTCTTTTCATTGAGGTTGGAATCTTCTTCCCTACTTGTTTGACTATGAATATCTCCCTCATCTTTTAATTATTTTTGTAAGACATCACCTCATTTATGAAGCATTCCTTGGTCTCTCCGAATCACAACAAGCTGCTCTTTCCAATGTTTTCTTCTTTTTAAAATCCTACTATAGCACTCATTCAATTCTACTTTATTGCAAAGTATTTATCTGATATCTCCATTTTTAAAACAGATTGGGCTTTACACCTTTTTCCACCCCCTTTCACAGTCTCTGAACAAAGCCTAGAATGGCATGAGCACTAAACCCATAATGGAGTTTTACAGCTGCTTCACAATGTTGATACTCAGAACTCTACTAAATGGAGCTCTAATTTAACTAGAATATTTTGTCCCATTTCGTTTATATCAGAAAGAAATAATATACAGACATCTTCTAAAACATTTATTTACCTGGCATGAGATCATGATACACTCAGCTCAATTCTGAATGACTTTTGTAGCTTAATACCAGAGGAACAATGAACAGAAGCAATAGAAAATTGTGAGCTACCAAATAAAGACTCAGTTATGTTCACGCTACCTGATAATAATTTAAAAAAAGTGACCTAGCCCAAATTATTTCCCGAGTGTTTACTGGATTAGATTAATTTCAACAGAGGGAACAGGGTCTGAAAGTTATAAACATTTTTATGCACTATGTTGCTTTTGCGAGTTCTGGTGGCATAGTGCCTAAGGCATCTGACTGCTAACCAGAAGGCTGACGGGTTCAAACACATCAGCCACTCCTCAGAAGGAAGATATGGGCAATCTACTTCCATAGTGATACCACCTCAGAAACCCAAGGAGGGGTCGCTATGAGTTGGAATTGACTCAATTCATTTGTGTGAGAATCTAAACTCTGAAGCACATGGTGTGTGTGATAAAGAGCAGCCTTAACTCTATCTAAACCTTGACATCAGTCTAATGTCAGATTTTCTAGGAGGGTCTTTCCTCTG